TCAGCTCCCTCATGATGAACTGCGACTCAGGAGATGTAAGATAAAATAAACCCTTTCCCCCCCAAAGTTGGTATTGATCAGAGTATTTTGTCACAGTAATTGAGTAGAAACTAAGATGGTCAGCATGCACAAGACCCATGCAAACTCGATCAGACAGAAACCCAGCATAGAACTGGAGAAATGGGCAGCAGGCCTCAACCTTAACTGAAGAACTATTGGCAGCTGGTCACTGCTAAGAGAGAGAGTCCATCTTCTTTAAGGGAGTGACTCTAGATAGGCTGACTAGATCCCAGTGGACCAAGTTGCACTGAGGGACATCTGGGTATACAAAATTGACTTCATAGGCCTTAACATATATGACAGAATGCATGAAATCTGGTGCAGGACAGGGAGGCATGAGGGGTATGGGTGACAGATGGGGTTATGAAGATCATTAAGATGTCTTGTATGAAATGCACAAAAATTCAATAAAAAAATACATTGGGTGGAAAAAGTGTAGGGGGCTTGTAAGAACTAGTTGATACTAGCTTCATGAGAGCGGAAGGTACCAGAAGAGCAGATGGAGATAAAATGGAAGGGAAAAAATTTCAGGGGCAACTTCTGGAGGACTGCGGACTCTGGTTATCTTTCTAGCCCTGCAAGACAGTATTGTTCTTTACTGATTTTCCAGCAAGGGTTCGTTTAGATTTGTCCATGTATCTGTCATTATTTCTATTCTTCACTCTGCATCTCCAGTTTTCCATCTGAGAGCCTTTTCATACTAACCAAAGAATACATTTTAGGGCCCAGTGAAATGGCTCAGCAGATAAAGGGCTTGACACACAAGCCTGGAGACCTGAAATCAATCCCCAGAACCCACGTAAACATGGAAGGAGAGAATTTAATCCACAAGTCTGTCCTCTGACTCCATATGCACACTGTGGCCCATGCACACATACACACATATATGTACTACCACTACAGCTAAATAATAATAATCATAATCATAAAGAATACTTGGGGCTAGAGAGATGACTCAGTAGTTAAGAGTGTTGGTTGTTCTTGCAGAGGGCCCAGGTTCAGTTCTCAGCATCCACATGACTGCTCACAACCCACTGTAACTCCAGTTCCAGGGGATCTGACACCCTCTTCTGGCCTTTGCAGGCACCGCTTGCATATGATGCACATACATACATTCAGGCAAAACACTCATACACATAAAATAAAAATAAATGATAAAAAGAATACTCTTTAATGTTTCCTTAGCATGTGTCTGTTGGTGGTGAATTATCTCCATTTTTATTTGAAGCTTTTTATTTCTCCTTCATTTTTAATGTAGTTTTGCTAGCTAATAGAATTCTGATTTGATGGTTGTTTTTCTTTAGCAAACAAGGGCTATTTTCCAGTGTATCTGACTTCCAGTATCACTGCATAGAGATCAGCTATAAGTTTAAAGTGGTTTTTTTTTTTCGGTCTTTTTGAGACAGGGTCTCCCTATAGCCCCAGCTGGCCTAGAACTCATTATGTAGACCAGGCTGGCCTTGAACTCACAGAGATCCGCCTGCCTCTGCCTCCCAAGTGCTGGGACTAAAGGCGTGCACCACCACGCCCAGCCTAAAGTGTTTTTTAAGGCAATCTTTTTCTACTAACTACCTTCAGAATCTCCTTACGTTTCACTACACGTCTGGGTGAGGATTTCCTTTCATTGATCCTTCTTGGAATTCACCAGGCTTCTGAATTCTGTGAATTGATGTCAAATTAGTTTTTAGACAGATCTAAATTCTTAGACTTGTCTTTCCATATTGCTTCTATTTCTCTCTCTCTCTGCCTCCCTCCCTCCCTCTTCTGCTGTACTAGATAAATGCAGATGAAGACCCCCCATGTTTCTCATCCTTACTGTACTTTTCATTCATTTTTCTCTGGGCTTCGTCCTGCATAATTTCTTCTGACCTGTGGTTACGGTTCCAAAAAAGACATGCTTTTTAATGTGACAGCAGTAGTGGGAAATACTATGGCTGTTTAGCAGGCAGGACCTACTGGGAGGTCAGGTCTACAAAGAGATTGTAAGGGGGCTAGAGAGATGGCTCGATGGTTAAGAGCTTACACCACTCTTGCAGAGGACTCGGGTTCTGTTATTAGCACCCACATTGGGCGACTCATAACTTCTTATAACTCCATCTCCAGGAGATCTGACACCCTCTCTGGACTCCATGGACACCTGCATTCTCATATGCACATACCCACACACAAACACGCATAACTTAAAATAAAAATAAATCTTTTTTAAAGAGAGATTGCTAGGCATGGTAGCACATGCCTTTAAGTTCCAGCACTTGGGAGGCCAGAGGCATGTGAATTTCTGTGAGATCAAAGCCAGCCTGGTCTACAGAGAAAGTTCTAGGTCAGCTGGGGCTACAGGAGACCCTGTCTAAAAAGACCAAATAGGCGGGGGGAGGGGGAAGACTCAAAAAAAAAAAAAAAAAAGAGGGAGAGGGAGGGATTGGGATTGTGAAACCCTGCCAGTCCCATCTCTCTTCCTGGTTTGTGATGTCACCTATCCTACCATATGCTCTTACCATGATGTCCTGCCCTCACCAGAGGCCCAACCACAAACTGAACCCCCAGAACTGTGAACAAGCCTTTCCTTGCTTCATAAGTGCCCTGGGTCAGGTATTTCATTATAATGATAGAAAGCCAACTAATGATCTTCAGTTCATTAACTTTACCTTTGTAACTATCAAATGTTTCCATGACATCTTTAAGTTATTGTATTTTTCAATTCTAGAACTTCTATTGGGTTATCCCCTGAGCCATCTCACCAGCCTCCTTTATTAAGGTTATTTCTAAATGTGCACTCTCTTGTTACAAAGCTTCCTGTGTGATGTCATGGTTTCTCCCTCCTTCATGTCCTCCTTTGAGGACATTTTTTATAGTCCTCATTTTAAGCCAGCATTGCTACCTTCTAAAAATGTCAGATTTCTTAGACCTAAAATCAAACATCTGTTTTAGCTTTATCTTCTTCCTAATGGACTGGAAAGCACTTCTTTTCCTGAAGTTAGTCAGAGGTCCAATTTGTTTTTCCTCTTATCTTGATAGGATGCTTACCACGACACTAGCAAATGCATAGGACCTAGTGGCACCCACGACACTAGCAAATGCATAGGACCTAGTGCTGGTGCCAGCCGGCCAAGACGGACAGTACCTGAAAGGGGGAGTGAGGATTGAAAGAAAAAACAAGAGACAGAAAAGATACTTGGGAGGACTGTCAGTAGAGACTGCAGCCCCAGTTTAATTTCAGCTCTGCCCTTTTATACAGAAGAACTCAATTAGTTTCAACAGCTGTTTTTCCCACCTGTATCTGAGGGTCAAGGAGCGGTCAAATACTTGTTGTGAGCTCCACCATATAAACACATTCCTCCTGATTTGGCAGATTAGGTACTGGTGTGCAAAACACACTCAGTAAACAAGCCTGCCACAGCTTATGTACATAATGAATTAATAACTCCCGACAACCTAGCAGATGCTAGCTTCTAGAAAATCACCTTCATGCAATACTGATGTAGAGCCTGATAAAATATTAAAGGAAAATAGGGATTTTAATCCTTGTTTTCTCTTTCTTCCTGTGTCTATACCAAGTTGTCCACAGGATGTTTTCTTAGACCAGGCTGGCCTTGAACTAACAGAGATCCGCCTGCCTCTGCCTCCCGAGTGCTGGGATTAAAGGTGCGCACCACCACGCCCGGCAGTTGCCCCTTTTTTCATAGATGCTCTCTCTCTCTCCTTTTTTCCTCAAACATTTCTGCAGAAACTTTCAGACGAAGGATTTAAAATATTTTATCTATTATTTTTGTATGTATGACTGTATTGCCTGCATGTGTGTGAGTGCACCCGTATTGTGCATTGCCTGTGGAGGTTAGAGGAGGGCGTTGGATCCCCTGGAGCTGGTGTTAGATGGTTGTCAGCCACCATGTGGGTGCTGGGAATTGAACCTGGGTCTTCTGAAGAGCAGCCAGTGCTCTTAACCACTGAGCCGTCTCTCCAGCCCCCTAGAGAGAGGATTATTTAAACATTTGTTTTCTTTTCTAAATTTATAATAATGTGCCTCATTTTGAGACTTTACTAATAGCCAATCAATATGTAAGTTTCTCTCTCACTGTAACCCAATGCCCAAGGTATAAAACATACATGCTACTTCCCTTTAGGGTCCATATTTTAAGGCTTGAGCATGCTGGACCAGGCTGCAGCCTAAATAAAATACCTGTTTCCTGTACACTCCCAGTGCCCTGCCTAATCTTCCCTACTACAATATCTCATAGAATTATAAGTATTCATTTTCATTTCATTGGTCTGGAATATAATTGATAACTGCCTCTCTGTAACAAAGCACTGGCAACCCCATTTTGACATTAACTGTGTGGCCTAGAAGGTCATTTATAGTCTTTGGACCTCTAGTTCCTAACTCAGACACTAAGTGCTGACCTGACTGAATTTCCTTTCATCCTATCCAGGTCCAAGGTTTATTAAACATCTCTTAATAAGAATCTCAAAAAGGGAATACTGGCTCTGGGCACAACTCAGTGGATAAAGCATTTGCCACACAAGTGTGAGGACCAGCATTCAGATCCCCACAACCCACGTAAAAGCTAGACATGCAAGGCATTCTCCTGTAATCCCAGCACTCAGGAGTCAGAGACAGGATCCCCAGGGGCAGATTAGCCCTATCAGGGAGCTCTGGGTTCAACAAGAGACCCTGCCTCAATAAATAAAGTGAAGAGCAATCAAAGAAGACACCTAATGTCAATTTCAGGCCTCCACACCCACTACACTGGCACACATATGTGCACCCACACATGTGAACATGCATGCACATCACACACATGTATCCCCCCAAAAGAAAAGAAAAAGTGAATACAACATATAATGACTTTGGAGGTTCCTACCCCCAAACACAGCACACCCCAGACTGAGACTCCGCAGGCAGCCTATAAGCTCAACATTCAGCCTTCCTTTCCTCTTGTCAGCTACATGTGGATTTGCAGGACCAACTAGGAGTCTTCTCCTTGAAAGGAAAACCCAGCACCTCCTACATCTACATCGTAGAGGAAAACAAACCAAATAAAAAAGGTGAGTGGTGGGACTGGAGATGGCTCAGTGGTTGGAAGAGCTGACTGCCTTTGCAGAAGACCCGGGTTCAATTCCCAGCACCCACATGACAGCTAACAACCATCTATAACTCCAGTTCCAGGGGATCCAACACCCTCTCTTCTGACCTCCATGGACATTGCACAACACAGGTGCACTTACACACGTGCAGGCAATGCACTCATACACATAAAATAAAAATAATAAAAAAAATTTTTTTAAAGGTGAGTGGGATGGGGGGGTGGGCAGGTGCCTCGGGAGAGCAGTGGATCTCAGAAGCTGGTTTCCCGGGGACCTCTAAGAGCTCAGCCAGAGTTAGATGCTCAGTCTCATCACCAGTAGCTAGCGGCCACAGCTCATTTCCCTCAGTAGGGTTGCTTTCCTCCAGTCGTGGTCTTCCTGGAGATATATTTCTTTAAACTGGTTCTGAGTTGTATCTTCTGTCTTCTGTTTACAGCACAAAAAGCCCACACAGCCTCCCTAGTTGTTTCTCCCGGAGACACAGCTGAATTCGATGTCTATTTCCACTCAAAGAAGATTGGGAGAATGACTGGCTCCATCCACTTGTCTGTGATCAACAACCAATATGAAGAGACCATGATCCACCTTGTGGGAGAAAGCTATGAGGATGACATCACCTTGGATAACATCCACGGGCTGATGGTTTCCACCAGCCTGGAGGGCTCAGATATGTCGGAGGTAATACAGATCACTGAAGAAAGTGCCATGGAAGACTTGGTGGCAGGTAGGAGAAGCAGTAGTGAGGTATTGATACCTGTTGACTCTGGGGTCATAAGTGAGAGAGAAATTTCATTAACAAGTGTAGCATCCTAAGAATTTAAGAGTCTCCTCTTTACCACTATGTTCTCTTCTAGACTAGACTCTGTTTGTTTGTTGTGTGTTTACACAGTGAACACCTACTTAGCACCAAGTGCAAGTTCAGGCACTACACTTAGCCTTGGACTTGCAGATTAATAACTCTCAGCCTGTTGTGTGACACTATTCCTGAGATGTGAACAAATATCTTATTCATCCCAGATAGGGAACCAGAGTCCAACATGGTGAACCAATGTTTTTATTGGGGTTACTTATAGGAGTACAAGTAAGGGGTTACTTACAAGAGCAGGAACAACTCAAGGGCAGGTGCACTGGGGAAACCCCACTCCAGCATGGATGACAGCTCCCAACAGCTAGAACCCTGGAGTGCACTACATAACTTGCAGGCAGCCTGACAGGTCAGACGGTGTCTCTTCCAGGCAGTTCAAGGGTCTGAGCCTCTCTGAGGCAGCTTGGCGGATCTGAGTCTCCTCAGCAACCCTTACTGCTTATGTAATCACTTGCAGAGTCTTAACAAGCCCCCAGCCCTTAGAACCTCCTGGATCTTAAGGCGTTTCCCTGAAGAGTAGAATTTTTCACCTCTCTTTTTTAATATTTTTATTGAGTTTTTATGCATTTTTTTACAATAGTTCTTAATCAAATTTAAACCATGCTCCCACATACCACCCTCCACCAGACCTCATGCATTCTGTCATATATGTTAAGTCCATTTGTACCCAGATGTCCTTTGGTGCTAGCTTATCCACTGGAGTCTAGTCAGTCCTATCTAGAGAAAATACCCTAAGCCTTAAGGAGTTTCCCTCCAGGATATAATATATCAACTAGGAGGAAACTGCTATTCAACAGTGCCTTTATTCAAGAGCTTATAGTTTGATGTTGAAACTCTGGTTCAGCTCTTTAGAGAATAAATGCCTCCTTGTGGTTTTCCTGTCTCTATCTTTTAGCTGGCTTGTGTTGGCATCGAACATTCTATGTATCCTAGGCTTTCTAAGGGAAATGATGAGCTTATTTCATTAGACGGGGAATAGGCTTGTGCCCTCACCCCCACAGCCTGGCTGCTCAGTGAGCAGGCCAGCAATCTACAGCATCAGCATCTCCTGGGAGCTTCTTAGAAATGGGAATTTCGACCCGCCCTGATCTGCTGAATCAGAGTCTGAATTTTAACCACATCCCTGGATGATTGGTATCTCTATTAAAGCTCAAGACCTTGCTTCTCCACAGTCTCTCAATCACCAAAGCTTCCACTTAACAACCATATTCTTAGAGGTTGGAAACATTTTCCTTCATAATTATTAGCAAAAAGCATGTGTTAAGCACTCTAACAGTGTGACTGATGGCTTTAAAGTAAATTGTAAATGCTGTCTTGAAATTTTCCCAGGAACTTAATTACAGTCCTGGAATATATGATTAGGGGTTAAAATCAACACTCTTTTATATAATTGGTGTTTCATTCCCATTTGAAGTCATATGATGACATCTCTCTTGTCAGGGGTCAAACAGGAGCCCACAGTAACCCAAGTTCAGAGATCAGATCTCATACCTATTGTAAAGTTGTCAGATTTAGCAAACCAGAACATAGGAGTTCCAAATAAAATTCAGTTTCAGGTAAACAATGAGAAACTTTTAGTGTAAGTATGCCCCCGAAGTATCGCACGGGACACTGTTTATAATAAAAAATGCTGTTTATCTGTAATTCAAATTTAATTGAGACTCCTACATTCTATCTGGCAATATAACACCTAATTTTATTGTCCGACTAAGCAAATGAAGTCGTTCCACTCTTGAATAAGTGGAAGTAAGAGCCGAGGTGGGTGGGTAGGTGGGTAGATGGAAAAATGGACTCCCCTAGGGAGGGCATATCTTGCTACCCAAGGATCCAGGGTTTTTCACATATAGCCATCCAAGGCGGAAAGGGTTCCATGAGAGTAAGTGAAGTGTGTGTCAGGGTACACCCCCTCTAGGAAGCAGGCTATCCACAGAGGCCGGGGAGCACTCACCAGCCTTCTGCTTCTGACCCTAGCTGCTCTCTTGGATCACATCCAGTTTGGGCACTGCCATATTGGAAGCAGCTATAACGTGAGCTTCACAATCACTAACCACAGCCAAGTCAATGTGATACGGTTCGAGTGGCCCCCTTTAGCTACACTTTCATTCTCCCCACAGGTAAGTGAAATCCATTCACTGAGTTCCAGACTCCCTCAGGCCTAAGCCAACCCCAATATGATTGTCACCCCATTCCTATGGATAGATAGCCTGCATCTCAAACTAGGAAGCAGCCCAGTTACCACTCCATGCTCAGACGTAGTACCTGAGGACACCATTCATATCTCCCTGATCTAAGAGGGGGAGAACAAATACATCATCTAGGCTCAAGTTGAAGACTTCTCTAGAGGCCTAGTTGGATGAATACTGGTCCCAACTTCCTGTCCCAGAATGTAGACTCTATGTCCCTCTATGTGCGTGTTCTTTAGATCATGTCCCTCAAAAGTGATTCACCAGCCGGGCATGGTGGCACATGCCTTTAATCCCAGCACTTGGGAGGCAGAGGCAAGTGGATCTCTGTGACTTTGAGGCCAGCCTGGTCTACAGAGTGAGTTCTAGGCCAGCTGGGGCTGCAGGGAGACCATCTCTCAAAAAGACAAAAAAGGATTCGCCAAGCCAATCATAGTAGTTCATACCTATAATCCGAACACTTAGGAGGCTGAGGCAGGAAGACCCCCACAAGTTCAAGTCAGTCTGAATTACATAATAGGTTTCAGACCAGCCTGGGCCACAATGTGAGACCCTTTCTCGGCGGGGGGGAAGTAGTTTACAAAATGGGGTGCTATGAACAACTGAAATTTAGAAAATATCCCAAGTCACTTCTTCCTCAAAGACTCCCCAGTGCCCTTTGGCATATAAAACCCTAGTTAATTTTGTTTCACCTGGAATTTTCTAACCTCTTCTTTGAGATCTTGGAGTACACATTTTGTGAATTACTGACCAAAGCTCAGCAGGGAACAATGCCCAGCACAATACTGCAGCAGATACTTGCCTCTGACTGGCAGGACGCTGGGACACCCAGATGTCTTCACTACCTCCTGTTCCTTTTACACACAGCCTCTGTCTCCACACAAGCATAGGGCTCTAGAGGGACTGGAGACTTTACTTTTTCCATTTTAAATCTTTGATTGCTATCAGAAATATTTTTGTTTCCTGGAGGGATGTGAAGTTTATCCTAATACTTGACCTCCATTCCAACACCAGCATGGCTCAAGTCCAACCCTGAGTGGTTGTTGTTGTGAACAGACCACACAGTGTAAGCCAAGGCCAGTTCCGAGACCTTGGTTAATTCACTTAATCTTCACAGTAAATGCTACTGTTAATCTACATTTGACCTATGAAGAAAGAGGCACAATATAATCTGTGTGATAGGGTAATCTAATTTGGGGTTGCACCTGTGCTAGCAAATATTCAATGAAGTCAGTTATAAGCTTCATTTAGTTCATCTACATACATGAACACCCATATATACACATATGCGCATGCGCACACACACACACACACACACACACACACACACACACACACATACACGTATTCCTAGAGAAGTTCCAAGCTTTCTTCTCTCTTCACTATTGAAGAGAATGAGGAGAATGTCTTATCTGTCAAAGCATGATAAAACATTATGTAGCTAATCATGCAAATCTGATTCATCCTCCTAAGTGTTGGGATCTCTGGTGTAAGCCACCATGCCTGACTTTATGATGACATTTTTAAGAACCTCTTGTACATATTAAAGTCAATCTACTTATAAGGACTGGGACAATTTTTTTGCCAAGACTTATGGCTCTACCCCTTCTCTAGAATGTCACCCTCAGGCATCAAGAGTCCTTAAGATTGAATTCCCCAAAATACTAATACCAGGCTTTTCTCTAGATGGGCCATCTCCACCCTGGATGCTCAAAGGACGTAGTGGTGACCATGAAGTCAGATGTGCCCATCAACCTGAAGAAGATGGGGGTCAAGTGCAAGCTCTCCAAGATCATATTTCAGCTTCCTACAGACCAGGTCCCTGACTGGGATGACCGCATGCGCACAGTCAAGTGGGTGGATGCACCCCGAAATACACATGGGAATTTGACCACAAAACGGAAGGTAAATGAATTCTCAGGGGACATCAAGCACAAGCCTGACCCAGCCCATCATGCTTGGATGCCCCCCACCCTCCATTTCCATGTCTCATTATCTCTTTCTGTCATGGAAAATAGAGAAGGTTCATATTCTGCTTGACAAACTTCACTTCCGTCCCTGCCATCCTTGCTAACAACACACAGCACCTACCACACATCTGAGTCGGCAGAGTTTAGCTTCAGTCTTGGTAATGAGTTTGGCAAGTCCTCCCTGCCACCTTGTCTTCAAAAATGTCATCCCTAGTCTTTTAGTTGTTTCCTTTTATCCGTCTGGTATCCCCAATTAGATTTGTCAGACTCTTCATTCCATGATGGGGTCTCATCTTTGGCCCACACATACCCCTTTTATTTATTCCTTGGTTAGTATCCTTTTAATAGTATAATTAGCAATGAACCCATATCCAACATGGGAACTAGAACCTGACTACCTGTGTGGTTCTGACCTTTCCATCTCTCTGTCTCCCTCCCAGTGGTAATCTCTATCCTGAGTCACTCCCTTGATTGTTTGTTTGCTTGCTTACCTGAGCAGTCTAAAAGGAATTAGGCTGAGCTGTTGCAGGCTGCTATTGCATATCCATTTCACTGTTATATACAATACAGTCTTTTAATTGCCTTTATTTGAAAATCATTTTGAGTTTTCTATTATGGAGAGTGTTTCTGTGCACCTTGGCATCCATGTTTACATTCTTACGAAGTTAGAGGACATGTGAGAATGTTCAACATTTCCAAGGTGATACCCAGTATTTCCAGCCTCGCTGTACCAATTTCTACATTTAGAACAGAGGAATCCTGTGGATCCACATCTTTTCTGGCACTTGTCCTTCTCAGACATTTTGAGGTTGTTTTGTTTTGTTTTTTGTTGCTTTGGTGGGTGCTGGGGATGGATCTGTGGCCTGTAACTACTAGACAAGACATTTTTTTTTTATTTTCCTCATTTGGAAATTGGGAAATAGTTTCATTATGAGCCTAACTTGCCATTCCCTAATCACTAATGAGGTTCAGTATCTATATTATTATAGTCATGCAAGTTATCTCTTACATGAATTCTTTTTCGTGCCTTTTGCCCATTTTTCAATTATGATGTTTATCATTCATATAAGTTATTTTACTTTCAAGAAACTCTGCTGTTTGTATTATGTCTGCAAGTGTCCTCCCTGAATTTATAGCTTAACTTTTTTACATTCTTTAATTTATGCTTTGATAAACAAAAATATTCTTAATTTTAATATGGCCTGTTATCAATTTCTTTTACATTTTAAAAAATATTTTTATTGGTTATTTGAGAAGTTCTTACAATGTATGTTGATCCTATTCAGACTGCCTCCCCTCTCTCCACCCCTACCTTACTACCCATCCACCTTTGACTTCTATTATTTTTTAAAGGTCTATCAGCTCTATTTTGTGTTCCTCAAATACTTAGGTGTGGGTCCATCCCCTAAAGCCTGATAAACCTACCCAGCTTCACACCCTCAAAGAAAACTGACTCTCCTCCTCTGAGCATTATTTTGCATCTTATTTTTAAAACCCTTCCCTCCCAGAAAAATATTCACCTCTATATGTTTTTTACAAGTCTGATATTTCTCTTTGATATTTAAGCATTTGGCCCATCTGGAAATTTATCTGACATGAAACTAGGATCTAATTTCATATTTTTCATCTAAATAACTAGCCTTGCCAAATCTGTTCAGTCCTTCTGCCCCCTTGTGATCTGATAGGACTCTGCTGTCATATGTCTAGATTCTATGGCTAGGTCTAAATAAATGCCTAGGTCATTTCTGATCTCCATTCTATTCTGTTGTCAGTTTTTCCATCTCTGAGCCAGTTTTACATTACTTTAATTTCTGTAGCTTCATAATCATCCTTGATAACTAGTGAGAAGTCCCTCCTTCACAGTTTTGTTCTGAAATGTTTTGACCACTATAGGGCCTTTGTTTTGAGACAGGATCTCCCTGAAGCCCTAACTGGCCTGGAACTCCCTACATAGACCAGACTGGTCTTGATTTCACAAAGATCCACCTGCCTCTGCCTCCTGAATGATGAGATTAAAGGCATGTGCCACCATGCCCAGCCCAAGGTCTTAAATTTTTTTAATATATAATTTAATAATGCATTTACCAAGTACTATGAAAGTCAGTGATGGAAACTTGGTTGGGATTAGATTGTAGCTATAGGTAAGTTTAGGAAGGATTAACAGTTTCACAATATTAACTTGTCCTTCCTATTAACAAGATTTATCTATTTATTTACATCTTCTCTAAGACCTACTAATATTCAGTTCTTCTGTAGTAATAAGGCTTTTCCACTTTTTTAAAGATTTTTTTGTTTCATTAATGGTCAGTTGCTTAAATGAGCTTTTATTTGTTCTTGCATGTATTTTAAATTATTTTTCTTTTCCCTCCAACTAAATTTTCATGTTTTCTTTTTCAAACATTTGTATTGATTCTCTGAAATTTTCATACAATGTATTTTGATCATCATATTCAGACCCTCTTCCCATCTCCATTCCCCCAGTACCCTCCTCAACTTCCATGTCCTCTATTATTATTTTTCTCCTTTTAAAGGCCTATTGAGTCTAATTTGTGTTCCCCAAATGCTCTTGAGTCTTGGAGTCTGGTCAATCCCTTAGAGTCTGATCAACTTACTCATACAGTCTTAGACTCTTAGACTCTGATCATCACACTCTTAAAGAAAACTGACTCTCCAGCCACTGTCAATTGCCAGGAGATCTTACAGTATTCTACAGTAAAATACTGTATTATGGTATTTTATCTGTTTAGATCTGTAGGGTTATTGGTGATGCTCTCCCCTTTAATTAATAGTTCTGGTTGTTTGCATTTTTTCTTGATTAATCTTACAAAAAATTTTAAGTCCTTTCAGATAAACAATTTTGTTGATCCTCTCCATTTTCTATTTGTTTTCTATTTCATTCACAGCTGTGCTTTTTTTCTTTATGGTTCTTTCCTCCGCCTTCTCTAGAGAGTCCATCTGATGTGGAAACAGAGCCCATGTGGTTCTGATGCTCTCAGGAATTCTTTGTCTGGTCTCTTTCATTTTCATTTGGAGCCTTTGAAGCTTTGCCTGAATCACTTCTCCTGGAACTTGCATTTGAGGGTTAGAGTTCATGTCTGTGGTAGATTAGCTATGCCCCTGTACTCCAGTGAGCAGCTGGCTTTGCATGCTGAGGACACGGTTGCCTTTGTTACAGGTGATAGAGACAGACCCTGAGCCAGCCCACACTGTCCTAGAAGAAAACTACCGAGAACTTCAGATTCAGATCAGTGCCAACGTGGATTTCGCTTCCTATGAGTGCCAAACGCATGACGTGTGCTTCAAGGAAACGCTGGTTTACCAGACCCGGGTGTTTGAGTAAGTCATTGAAAGCCTCTAGACAGACTACTAGGGAAACCGTCATTCACTCACACACTCATCAACAAAGTACTAACACCTGAAGCAGGGACTGACGAATGTGGTCCATGGCCTGTAAAATAAAGCTTTGCATCCAGGCATGGTGGCACATGCCTTTAATCCTAGCACCCAGGAAGCAAAGGCAAGTGGATCTCTGTGAGTCCAAGGCCAGCCTGGTCTACATAGTGAGATCCAGACCAACTGCGGTTACAGGGAGACCCTGTCTCATAAAGACCAAACATTTTTTTAAATTAAGTTTTGCCGGCACATGACCACCATTTGTGTGCCCTCTGAGGCTGCTTCCCCACTACAAAAGCAACTGAGTAGTTGTGGCAGAGGCTGTGGGGCACACAGGGCCAAAACACTATTAGGCCCTTTATAAAAACATTTTTCAACCCCTAACCTAAATCAAGAACTCTTTTTATGAAAGATATCAGTACCACTGAAATTCCCTGATTACTTTATTACTTTTTATTTTATGTGTTAGAGTGTTTTGTCTGAATATATGTAGGTGCCCTACATATATGGGCAATGCCCATAGAAGCCAGAAGAGGGCACTGGATCCCCTGGAACTGGAGTTAGGAATAGTTATGAGCCACCATGTGGGTGCTAGGAACTGAACCTGGGTCCTCTGGAAGAGCAGTAAGCGCCCTTAACCCCTGAGCCATCTCTCTTATTTTTTTTTTTTTAATGTCTGGCCAAACATTTAATTGGCCTATGTCCTGGTTTGTTTCTTCATTGCTGTGACAAAATACTCTGACCAATAC